AAGATCTTCTGTCAGACATGGATGAGTTTCTCATGCAGGTAAGATCTTCTGTCAGACATGGATGAGTTTCTCATGCAGGTAAGATCTTCTGTCAGGCATGGATGAAGATCTTCTGTCAGGGGGCTTATTCTTTTTCAGTGCTTATAGACTGGGGTTTTATCAGAAGGGGAGCTTACAAAAGGCTGGGGGTTTAATAGAGGAAATACATTATTTGTAAAATGTCGCCACCAGCCTGTTTCCTCCTATCACAACAGCTGAATGAACAACTCTCTACTTTTCAGAAAAAAACATATTTTTTTAAGTACCAAATTTTTGCAGGGCTAAAATTAATGGTCAGTCAATAGGAAATGTTCAACCAAAATTGGCACTTGTCTGACCAAACCTCTCTTAGGCCAGTCACATTGACTGGACTTGTGACTGATTACTTCATTGTGTTCACACTAAATCTGGTGCTAATAGTCTATAGTATAATGTTGTATGTTTATTGTATGGTAGGGGACTGTATTACCACCAGGGGAATGGGATCCCTCTATCCGTATAGAACCCCCAGCAACTGTGCCATCACAAGAGAAGAGGCTCAAATGGGGTGAATTGAATGATGATGAAGACCATGACCCAGCAGACAGAGAAGAGCATCTCAGAAAAACAGGAAGGTATGTACTGCATTCAATTATTTAAAAAGCTCCTGTAATTTTCAAATCTTGCATTCTTATTAGTTTTCTTATCATGCCTGCTAAAAGCTTGCGGCACAAACTTGCTCATTACATGGCAAGGAATTTGCCAAACCAATCACATTGGGAAAGAATTTACTCTCCATCCAATCAAATGCCCAAAACATGACATAAACATGGCATGGTCATGGACATGGTCACACCAAGGTTATAGACCAATCACAGTTTATATGAGAAAAATCAACCAATCAAAATCTACAAAACATCATTGTGGAGGCAAGGCAAGCACACAATACAGCTTTTCACACTCATAAGGAAACTGCTCTAGTAGCACACCAACCTGTGCTATCCTTGAGTTTTTTTTTTGGAAATTGAGAGAAACATAATACAAAAATACAAAATTTGAGGATTTTGTCCCCCTCCCCTCCCCCATTTCTCTATAAAATCGTGAAGGATGCTACGATAACTTGCAACTTTGCTTGGAACAAAGTTACCTCTACAATATCATAATTAGCTAGATGCTGATCACATGATCAACTTGGGCTCCTCCTTCGGGTACCAGACACAGTGATATGCAATAGAACAATGCAATACAATGTAGGTTTGCGCTACATGCAGAAGGACCCCCAGCTTGAATGTTTGGATTTTCTTATTAAAAACACTTCAAATCTCTAACTGTTTTGTTCTTGTAATTTAGACTTTTTGGTGGTTTACTAGCTGACTTGAGGCGTCGTCTGCCATGGTACTGTAGTGACTTCAAAGATGCACTCAGTCCACAGTGTATTGCCTCAGTCATCTTTATCTATTTTGCTTGCTTGACTCCAATTATAACGTTTGGTGGTCTAATGAGTACAAAGACAGACCACTATATGGTAAGATGAAAGATCTATAGAACTGTATACAGTTATTTGCATCTAAGCATGAACACAACACTAAAACATGTTCTAATTATTGGTTGATGAAACATAGTAAATTAGTCAACTGGAAATTTGCACGTTTGGCTCGCAGCTCTTTAAAATCTGCCAGCTGAGCAATAAACATGCACTTTCTGGTTGACTAAGTTCCTATGTTTCAGCAACCAATTCGAAAATGTTTTAGTGTCATGTGTCCATGTGTAGATGCAAACGACTGTTTATTTATTTCAAAAATGATTCATGAATGTTTTGTTGGATGTTGCACACTATAAAGTCCAAAAAAAATTGTCAAACTTTACTCTTGAACTTTTTTCCTGAATATTTTCTTCTGTACAACATATGAATATAATAAATTTCAAGCTGTATGTCAAAAAAATGTTGGTTCGTTAGGTTCAATTTATTTTTGCACTGATTGGGGAGAGAAAGAAGGGTTGAGAAGCAGGGTCTCTGTAGATATTCCCCACACCTTAGAAATTAATTTTGTTTGTAGCAACATAAGAAACTGCGTTCTTTGAATGCTAAATCTGGATTGGGAAGCATGGATGTTGTACAGTGAGATGTCTCACCTCTCACTAATACCACCTGGGTTTGGCCACCGGCCAGGCTCTGTGTTATATGCTTTTTTGGCTTGTTGGTTGTCTCCTGTGCTTCAAGGGTTTTACTCCAGGTTCTCCAGTTTTCCTCCCTTCACAAAAATCGAATTTTCTTAATTCCAACTGGAATTTCAGGGGATGAATAGCTACTCTGTTGAAATGCCACTACTAAATCCCATTTATCTATCTTTTTTTAATTGGCTGTAAACTCATACCTTTTTGTGAAACAAGTCAACCAACTTGTTACACTGTAACATATTTTTTCATAAAAAGGTTTTTATCCAGAAAGTTTCACATAGCTTAGTGTGTTGTGCAAAATTTCTTGTAACAGCGATACCCTAATGAAAGAATATTTTTGCAAAAAAATAATAATTTGGGACACTTTTCAGTCATACACATCAATGCTACACTCTATGCTTTTGCATGTGATGAACAAGGAGAAAAACTCTTGTAGCACAGGAGAGAACATCACATCAAACAAAAGCAACTCACATGTCGATTGTTATGGAGGGAAGAAAACCAAAGAACCAGGATAAAAACAATCATAGGTCACAGGGAAAACACCAAATGAGACGAACTCAACTCACATACTAGCTTGATTGGGATTTGAATGAGGCCTTCTTGCCATGGGTTTCCTAGTGAGAGGTCTGCACATTAGCAGAGAAAACCACCCATGCCAACCTCACTTTCTTTAAAGGGAAAATACATGGCCTTTATGTAATCATTTAAAAAAAAATTATTTAGTGACATTGTTCATTTCTCTTCAATAGGGTGCTGTAGAGCAGATGTTGGCTGGTTCTATTGGTGGAATATTATTCTCTCTGTTTGGTGGTCAGCCATTGATCATCCTTGGAGCAACAGGACCAATGCTTGTGTTTGAAGAAATCATTTACTCTTTTTGCCAGATGTCAGATTTAGAATACCTTCCATTCAGAATGTGGATAGGAATATGGACTATGCTATTTTGCTTCATTCTGGTCTTCACAGATGCCAGCTCGTACGTCTGCTATTTTACCAGATTCACAGAGGAATGTTTTGCTACTCTTATCGCACTTATTTTTATTGTGGAAGGATTTTCAAAATTATGGAATGTGCAAACTGACCATCCCATAGACATTGGCTACACAACGCACCATGAATGTTTGTGTAAGAAACAGACTACATTTTTTGGGTCAGTTACTTTACCCAATGGAACAGTAATGAATAATTCGGTTACCAATTGGACTGAATTAAATGTACCAATACAGGACTGTGAGTACAATGGAGGAAAACTCATAGGTATGGCATGTGATGAGAATGTGTTTTTCTTATCTGTTATTCTCACCTTTGGTACATTTGCCATGGCTATCTCCCTCAAGTCTTTTCGCAGCAGTACTTTCTTCCCAACCAAAGTAAGTTGAGTCTATCAATTATCATAACTTCATCTTTATCTTGAACTTTATCATGTATACAACTATTTGAAGAAAGGTTGTAAAATTTGACATCAAAGGAGATAGATAATGGTTGTGTCTAGTAGGATACTCGCAGTCCAGGTGATTGAGAGAGAGAGAGAGAGTATAATTGTCAGGGAAATCTTATTCAGTTGGCTAGTAGGCATACCCTGTGATAGCATAAATTAAGCTATAATAAATATTTATGTGTTTAGATATGACTAAAAAAATGAGACCACACAAGCAAATTCGCTTCATGGTCTAGTGGTTAGGGTTAAGTTAGGTTTTCGATTCTTGGTGTCTTCACTTAATTTTTTTTCTACGTGAAGTACAGTGTGTACGGAGTAGGGTGGCCCACAAAGGCAATACAAAAGTACTAAAAAATACAAAATACAATACAAAGCAATACAAAATACAAAAATACTGTGAAATATTTTTATACTGGGAAATATTTTTGTACTGGGAAATATTTTTGTACTGGGAAATATTTTTATACTGGGAAATATTTTTGTACTGAGAAATATTTTTGTACTGTGAAATATTTTTATACTGAGAAATATTTTTATACTGGGAAATATTTTTGTTTTGGGAAATATTTATACTGTTTGGAATACATATATGTGTACTGAAATACACATTATTGTACTGACATTAATATATTTGTACTGTGTTTGATATTTTTGTATTGCCCTTGTGGGCCACCGTAGAAGAGAACCACAATTTCTATAAAGTCCCACTCGTGTGTTCGGAAACCTATGACGTACTTCGTTAACCCTAGTCTCTCTCAATCACCTGGACTGCGAGTATCCCATCTATACACAACCATAGATAATAGGGGCAATAAAAGGTAATTCCAACATCCAAGAATAGCTGAATTGACTATTGTTTTTCATTATTATTCTTGTCAAGAATGCAACACAGAGATGTTGGTGTTGTGATGTCCAGTGTTCCTCTTAGGCAATTTAGCCATTTTAGATGTTTCAATATAATTCCTTATTAGACAAATCCATATTGATTACATTCACGTCGCACATAGTGCAGTTTGAGCTCGGTATGCAACATGCACCAAAACCTTTACCAACATTTTTTGAAATATTTGTCTTTCATTGTCCACATGGTAAACGCACTAACAGTTAGTCATCATATTGTTACATTTCAGGTCCGTGCCGTAATATCAGATTTTGCTGTGTTGATTTCAATCTTAGTTTTTGTCAGTATTGATGTAGCCTTTGGTGTCAACACTCCAAAACTGATAATCCCCTTGAAGTTCCAGCCAACAGCAAGCCATAAGCGAGGATGGCTGATACCTCCTCTTGGTAAGAACCCAGCGTGGGTGATCGTTGCTGCTGCTATACCTGCCGTTCTTGCTACTATTTTAGTTTTCATGGATCAACAGATTACTGCTCTAATTGTCAACAGAAGAGAACACAAACTAAAGGTAACCAGTTACGTTACACTGTAGAGACTTCGCACTATCATGTGATGGCAGCCATGACAGTACAGTAAATGTATGTAGGAACAACAATAAAGTCTTTTCCCCCCTGAGAAACTCTATTATTCTCATGCCTCCTGTTATGGCTGCCAACAAGATGGTGCAAAGCCTGCATAACTCTTTCCAAGGCACACACAGTAATAGACATCTTTACCTTGGGCATAATGATTTCCCATTTCAGATCACGCCATTTCCTTGGGAATGAGATTCTTTGTTTGAGTTGTATATAGTTGTCCATATTTATGTGTCTTTTCATGCACAACTGTTAAACAAAGAAATGATCTGTTCTAAAACATACAACAAATTATGACCAAGTTAAAGAGATGTATTACGTGGAGCACAGGTTCTGCTTAAACACTGCCTCTCACTCCTTTTCTTGGGGTTCAGTGGTCGGCAGATGTGCTGACACATTTTTGTGGCTACTGCATCTACATGTTTTAATATTAAAGTTTGAATCTCTATAGTGACTTGTTCTATAGTCATTTTAAAGGTGCATTCTTTGGTGGTTGAGTTGGGGGTTCACCTTTTGCTTGAGAATAATATTAACTAAATGCTAATAATAATAATTTTCCTCTTTCAGAAAGGTGCTGGCTATCACCTTGATCTGTTAATGGTAGCTATAATTATTGGGATTTGCTCAGTTCTTGGTCTACCATGGGTTGTTGCTGCCACTGTTTTGTCTGTCTCCCATGTACAGAGTTTATTTTTGGAATCACAATGCACAGCACCAGGAGAAAAGACAAAGTTTTTAGGAGTAAGGTGAGTAAGCTGCAGTACATGTACATGTACTAGTATTTGACAAGGGGGTGATAGTGGAGAATTACCCAAAGTCTACATGATAAATAAAGTAAACATTTCAGGAGTTGAAAGTCCTGCTCTACTTGTGCAACATTGTGCACAACAACAAACATTTTCTTTTGAACACGGGTACAACATCACTTGCCATATTTTGACATTTTTAGCCAATGAGGCTGCACTAAAACGAAGACCAAAGGTTTTTGGTATGGCAGGGATGATTATTGAAGGAAGATATGACAACAACAACAACAACAACATCGTTTTATTGTACCTAGAATTACATTCATATTTACAAACAAAATTACATAACTATAAGTACAGGCCCTAACTAATAACTATAAATACATGAAGGATGTTGCATGAATTGTTGTAACATGTGTCGTCCCTGAATCAATTTTGCTGCACGCAATGTTCACGATGGTGTAATAGTGTTATTGATGTACCATAACTGTACTATAAGCTATAGCCTTGCTTCCATCTTGCCTCATGTTCCTCATTGACCACCACTGAGATGCCAGCATAAAGTCACAGTAACTTTGTGCAGTCTATGTATTTTGTGTTTTCCTCTTGTCAGAAATAACATACTGCGATGCTACTTTAACTGCTGCCTGGTTAGCTCAGTTGGTGAGAGTGTCAGTCTGTTGTGCACAAGGTCATGGTTCAAGTGCCAGCTGCACCAACACTCAAGGTCTAAAATAACCGAGGAGAAAGTGCTACCTTCATAATAACATAGACTGCAAAGGGTTATACCTTTAAGTAAGAATTTAAAACCATAGGCCCTTTCTGTCTTTACTATAACCATGTAGAAGACGGATGTAAAAGACGCAATGAAGACCCTGGTGACAACCATCTTTATTGCCTGTGCTAACACTACATGGCACAGAACTGTTGTGGTGTCCCTACCCTCACTGAAGAAGTTAATGAAATAAAATAAATAATTTTATTCTATATACAGAGAACAGCGCATCACCGGGACTGCCATCTTCATACTGATTGGTCTTTCAGTTCTCATGACTCCAATTCTCAAGGTAATAATATACCAGACTTTCAACAATGAAATCAACTTTTTTCTGATGAGAAAAAGATTTTAAGAATCATTTTTGCAAAAACTGGGGTTCCTGTGGTGGACTTGTTTCCTTTTCAGGATCTTGATCTGCATTTATTTATTATCATAAGAGAGATGTGAGAAAGAGTCTGAATGCTTTGACTGTCAAGGAGTTCAGATTCTTCCTCTCAACTTTCTTATTTTTCTTATGAATATTGTATATTTATGTAGATGGGATTCTAAGGACTTTGAGGCATTTTGCATTACTTTTCTTTCATTCTGTATATTTGATGTGTATATTTATGTAGATG